CTTTTTATTCTACAAAATGGATGAACAATAAAATAGACAGATAAAATCACCTGTTCTAATGGTGCTTACTTTCTACCAACAGCAGTGAAATAATAAACAAATCAATAAAAAAGGAAAAATATCATAAAATATTAAGTGTTATTAAGAGAATCAAAATAGGTGATGTAGTAGAGTAAAAGATTAGATTTTATGTTTTGTGGATAAGAAAGCCCAGTCTGGAGAAGTTACATTTTAGCTGAGTTTTTTAAACAAAAGAAGCAAATACTCATGTAGGAAACGGTTGATGCTTTCCAAATTCAGATTACAAAAAAAGCAGGGATTCATATTTTTAGGAATAGAATATTTCAAGTATTTAGATCACAGTTGAAAACTCGTTTCTGCATTCAGTAAATAATCTGAATAAGGTATAAAAATAAACTCAGTAGCTAAAACAAGAGGGAAGCTGCAACCAAAAATTTCAAATTATGATCAAATAATGAAAAATCAATATAGATTTTTTAGAATAACTAAATATAGTGATTATGTCATTTCGGAGAAAGGCAGAACTACGAATGGGAAATTTACTCTAAAAGCTAGTAAAATGCAGTTTGAAGCGTTCAGATAAAGACTAGATTTCAACCTGGAATTTACTTTTACAGAAGAATGATCTACACCCTTTAGAGACTCTAATCATGGAAAAATGCCAATGTGATTTAACCTCAAATTATTTTCAGCTTACTAAAAATATCGACATTGTATGTCCAAAACGAATATTATAAATGTTTTTTATTTGGAGGAGAGTGGATTTTATGTTACTGTTAAATTGAAGAAAATTTCATATGACAGGGCATGGAAGTTTCAACACATATCTTTTGAATAACAAATAAAGATTTTTCAATTCTCGATATTTTATTCAAATTCTGGAAGATGAATAGGTTGAACGAACAAAAGATTGCCTGCACCCATCATCAGATGGAGAACTACTTTTCTATCAGAATTTATTTTGGGAAAACTAACTCAAAATAGCAAATTTTATGGGCAATTTGACAGACAAATTAGAATTACCTTTGAAAGACAGATGCCATTGAGTTACTCAAAAAAGCAAGTGCTATGAATGTAGTTGCATAAAGAATAGGGACTAACTCTGCCTTGAGAGAACAGATAATATTCTTAAGAAATTCAATATTTGAATTGGGTACTTAGAAGTCTCAGGATAAACTTATTAACCTCGAAACAACAAGGTATTAGGAAGCAGAAGAGAGCAGTATGGAAGCTTCAGGTAGGGATGATCACAAGCAATAAAGGAATACTACTAATATTCTCTCATTTTTCAACTTGGAGTGTTTAGTATGCATCAAAAAAAAAAAAAAAAAGTCCCCTACCAGGCAAAAGAGGAACGACTGCAGTCTAAACTTAGGATAAGTGTTTAAAAGATACCAAGGTCCTCAACTGGAGTAATGAAAAGAATAAATGTTTGAAGTCATATATACCTGAGTAAGTTTTGACTACTTTTTTTCCTCTGTGTCAGAAATTTTCATAACCTCTCTGAGATAACTTTTCCTCTTATGCATAATGCTAAAAATTATTTTTAATCATATTTTTGTTTTAATAATTACATGATTTATATAAAACTCCTAGCAATGTCTGCAATTTAATGGGTGTTGAACAAAATATGTTGTTCTTAGGTGTCATCCATTCAGTTCTAACTCATAGTGGCGCTTGGGTTCCGGCAAAATGGCGTTCTAGGCAGAAGCACCACGCCGTCCCTCCACAGCAAAGATCTGAAAAACTAAGCCAAACAGAGAATACTACAATCTTGAAACCCTAAAACATCAAATGAAGAGATAAAGAACTCAGCCAAGCACCAACTGGAGTGAGAAAACTGACAGAGAACAGAGAGCGAGGAGAGATTCATGCAGAGGTCCCCTACCAGCTAATGCAGCGTGGATCCACCATCTTGGACTCCTATCGGAGACCAGCAAACAGGGGTACAAGAAATCAGCCTCATGGAGCATCCAGCAG